TAATTTAGTAGCATTTACTTCTTATGACCACGCAGTGTTAGTGTTAGGTAACGATACTTGGTATAATCATACTATTTCTGTCAAAAGGGTTTAAGTGAATCATGTGATATTACATCGATCTTTTAGGATAAAAAGATTATCAGATCTGCAGTTATAATCAGTTTCATTAAATAGAATTTAAATTTAAATGGCAAAGTTTTTATGAAAAAACTATATCAAAATTTTTAAAACGTTCTTATCATCAGTTCTTTAAAGATAGCGAAATAACTTATTTGAACTTGTATGATTTTTTACTCTATAGAATTAAACAACAGGACTTTAAGATCGATTCTCAGTTGAAAAGTGGTCATTAGGCCATTTTTAGCTGATTTTTAGGTTAATGTCAATATTTTATGTACAGAGATAGGGGTAAATTTAAACAAACATAAAAAATAAACATAGTTTCAAAGCTCAATTTTATTCTAGAAAATTTTGAATTTTATTGATTATTTAATATAAACTTTGAATATACATTAATGATGAACTTTTTATTTTTTGCTTTTAAATACAATTGAAGCACGAGTAGACTATTCATAGCCATTAGCATTGCATGATATGCAAAGTGGGTAAATAAATTTAAATTGTGATTTTAACTCATTTGATGGATCTAAAATACCATCCTCTGCTCTAAACCAATAATATAAATCCACATCCTTTATATGACATGAATAATAATTTTGTTCAATGGGTAAATCACAAGTAATATCTTGGCGTATATAAAGTTGATTAGAAAGTAAGTATTCATCTGGAAGAAGTGGAGATCCACAACTATATGAAATATTTTCAAGGTATTGTATAATTGTCTCAGTATCATTTTTATTTAAAAATGTATCACTATAAATGCAGCAATATTTTCTACAAAAATCACAGCAAACTAAAAGTCAAATTTTTGTATTTATAAATCTTCCAGTATGAGATTCTGATTCTTTGTGGTTAATTTTTTGTTGTAATAACCGATATTCTTCACTTGTTGATTGTCCATATAATTCATCAAATTCTTTATAATATTCTTTATCTGTAAATAGAATTCTTTAACTTAAATACAAAATTTATAATTCTTTAGCTATATATTCTTATCTGTAGAAAGTTTAGGATTAGGCAAAAAATATAAATTTTCAAATTGATCAAGTAGCATTCAGATTGGTTGGCATATATAACATTTGTTATCAGTACATTTTTTGACTTGAAAAGTATAGGTTCGGGTTTGACAATGAAACTTTAAAAAATTATTATAAAACTGCTGTTTATTTAAAGAATTTAAAGTTATCATTGTTTGCTCAAGACTTGGATCAATTATAAAAATAGTCTAAAATTGCATACAATAGTAATTAAATTTGTTTATTTTGATTATAAATTTTTAAAAAATATTGTATAAGTATAAATAAATACTTTAAAAAACTCTTCAATTTCTATCTCTATAGCAGTATTTCTAGTAAGAAAATAATTATCATGAAGTTTAAGTCGTTGTGTTCTTTTATTTAAAATTTCTTGAATA